ATTTCTCAAAATACACAATTATGACAAATCATTGTCCCTCTCATAGAACCCAAACCCAAACAGTTAGCATATCGGAACGTGGTACCCGATCCAATATTTATGCCGGAATGTAGCAACCCAAACCCATATTGAAACCCTAAGAAACTTAATCCTTCCCTTTTCGAATTCGTTCCGCTTGTTCTTGGTCTACAAACAATCATAATAACACGGGAATCAATAAACAATCACTAATTACCCGAATTACTAACAATTCTAACAACCTTAGATCATACCCATGATCCCAAGTATCCAAAATAGGGTTGTTTCCACCATAGATTCTAGATCAAAACCCTCCCCCATTGATAATTACCCATTAGATTACGTTCTACGGATCGAAAAACAGATTCGGGGAGTTAAAATCTTACCTTTAGCCTCAAGAATGGTGGAAAACTGTCAAGAGTAGCCTGGGGTTCATTCCTTAGCTCTAAAAAATGAAAAATGCATAATAAAAACGTTTTGGGGTTTATTTATGACCTTAAGTCGCATCGGACCCGCCACAACGGTCCTCACCCCGCTACAACGGCCCCCGCCCTGGCGGCAGAAATCCCGCCTCAGCGGCTTGCACGGAACCAGTGAGCTATTTTAATAATTTCAAGACCCCCATTTCACAACACACCTTTAACCAACGATGCTCAGAAAATGCCGTTCACTCTAACATCGATTCCGGGAGTTCTACTCACCCGAATTCAATTCCGTAAAGTCGTACGGATTCCTTAACGACTTATCTAACTATTCATGTAATCAAAATCATAATTAAATCACCCGATTGTTACCAGACTCCCTTCACCTTAGTGATTTCGATTTCGTCCAAATCTGGACTAGGTTGGGAAATTCCAAGTTACTACGACAAGGTTTTTCGACCTAAATTTTTTCCCGTTGACTTTTCTATAACGACGAAACCCGATCGTTACACTAATAGTCTAATACTACAAAATTTAATTGTTTTGGCTATACATATTATTATATTAATATATATGAAATCTAGATTGTAGTATTAATTAGTTAGCTAGCTAGTCGGCAAGTGAAAAATATAGAGCAAATGTGAAGAGAACAAAAATAATACTTTATTTTTCATAGCTAATGATTGAACACAATGAGTCCTAAAAAGTAAACAATATTATCATTAATATCCCACCAAAAAATAAAGAAGCACAATATGTCTATATTTTCTCCACATTCACATTCATCCTTTAATTTGGATTACAATATTTCCCTTTCATTTTCTTGAAAATAAAAATGGTGGACATAATAGTAATACACTTTAAAATCAGTAATAGATCCTCAGTTCAAGAAAAATCGATCAAAACAATCTAGAAAAAAAGTAACAAACGTACAAATAAAATAGATATAACAAAAATAACAAATATATAGTAATCGATTATTTACTATAAAACAAACTTAGAAAAAAATCTTTTCAAATTTTTTAAGTATAAAATGAATATTTCTTATGTGTAAAATAAAAATCTCTAACAATTTTACCAATCGACTCATATGCTCTTTAGTAAAATATTTTTATTATTTTTATTTTTATTCGTCAACTGCAATTTCGCACTTTCAAAACCAATGGAATCCCTCAATATTGTAAAATAAAAAATAAAATAATTGAAGAACTGTATCGATTTTCTTTAAAAGGGTATGAAAAAGAATTATAATTTCACATATAAAAAACACGGCAAACATTATTCAGCTTTCGATTTATAAAAAACGACAAACTAGATTGTTTTTTCCTCAAATTTTTTAATCAACATTGTTCGTCGGTTTTCAATCCCTCAATTTTTGCATTGATTTTAATGAAGTGATAAATTAGTTCAATTCAATTATTTATTGTAACTAATATTTTTTGCAAACATTATCTCTAAGATCTCTAAAAAGACTCAATAGAAATGTTTCTAATAATATTATTTATAAAATTCGGAGATAAGAAATCTTATATATATATATATATATATATATATATATATATAACAAGTTA